GTCCTCGCCATTCGAGACAACGCCTAGCATAACGCCCGCCGCGCGAACGAACAGCAGCAAAAGCGTCAACCCGAATAAACCTCCATATCTCAGAAACGTGCCAATCTGATCCGGTAATAGGCACAACTTCGTTTGAATCGTCTTACTTGCATCCCCCCCATTCAACGGCTTCCCAAGCGTATCAACTGGATTCCACAGACTAACCAGCACAACACCCGGCAGCCTAACGCCCATAGCCCAACTAATGCTCTTGACCGTGATCTCGCGTATGCCGCCGCCAGCACTGGTATACGCTTTATGCACCAACTCGCAGTAATCGTGGTCGTCACCGGAGAATGCGTACCGGATATCACCGACCTTCTCAGCGATATCAGCGGTGATTTCGCGGTTGAGCACGTTTTGGTATTGGTAGCCGCCGCGGACGGAGATGGCGTTTCGGTCGTCGTGGTCGAGGGGAGGTTGGCCCGTTGGGGGAGGCGTCGGGGGCCAGTGTTCGCGGAGGGGGCCGCAGGGTGTGCCTGGGGCGCGGTAGAGGGGCACGTGAGTGAGGAGGATGGTGGGGAATTCGGTGATGTCGTCGTTGGCGTGGGGGAGGGGTGAGGTGGCTAGGTCTTGCGCGGAGATTGCGTGATGTGGCATGCCTGGGTAGGGTCGCAGGCCTTGTTGCGCTCGTAGTTCTCGTTGGATGAGGCGCTTTTTGCGCTTCTTTGCGTCGGCGAGGAAGTCTTTTGTAGGGCGCCATATCTTCTCGACTTGTTCGGGGGACTCCTGGCCGAATGCGCTCAGGGAGACGCTGTCGATTGAGACGAAGGTGTGGTTGGCAATGACGTCGATTCGATTGCCGTCGCCAAAGTAGGCTTCGAATCGGTTTCGGACGCCTTCTTGTACTCCTTTGGCAAATCCCAGGTCATGGTTACCAGGTAGACTGCTTATGAGCTTCCGCCCAGGCTGTCCTGGTCTCGCCTGCATGCCGCCATCACCCCAGTGCTTGAAGAAGATGTTCCCGAATCTTCTGTACTCGTTCATCCAAAAGTCGTCGCCATATTTGCGGTACTGCTTCTCCGGCGAGGTAGTTGTGCGCGTAGACCATTCGCGGCCACCGTCGAAGAGATCGCCGAGGAAGAAGATAGTGTCAGGGTATAGGACGGTCTGGAAGCGAGAATAGGTGCGACGGAGGTACAGATCGGTGTATTTGTAGGCTAGAGGGTTGAGGGGCCACGGGCGGCCGGGGTAGGTGTGCGGATCTATGAGTTGCGGATCGGCGACGAAGATGAGTCTGTGGGGATTCGCGCCGGTTTCCTATAGTTGCGATTAGTTTCGCATAATCTGGTAGATATTGTGAGATATAGACGTACCCAGTCTTCCCATTTGTCCCAGTGGCAGCTCTCGACGGCGCTGTTGAAGATACCTCTCTCGCCCCAGTACAGAACCACCCACCACAGCAGCACGAGCCCATTCACGAGCGTAAAAAGTCGCTTAAAGCTCCAGTTCCCACTGCGCAGCTCATTTCTCTTTCCCTGCACAGCAGGTCGTATGCGATATAGAAAGAAGGCTCTGCCCAGCCGCCATGCTTGGTGTGTCAAGCTCTCGGGTTCTGAGTATGCGCCGACGGGAATGCCATACTCGTCGTATGTGGTCATTGTCTGTCAAAGGAATGAAGGAGGTGCTGGCGCAGCATTTTTGAGGAAGGATGCACGTGAGGGGAAACGTTACGCAGTCGTGAGCATGTCGCCTGCGTAATGCTCAAAGGGGGACTGGGTGCGGCGTGTTCATGGTCTGGGGAAAATGCGGCCAGGGTTCCGAGGCTGATCCAAGGCTGATCTGCCGCCGCTACCATGGCACGAGAGGCTCGACTCTCTGCAGTGTAACCCTGCTAACCAGGTGAATGCATAAATGGTACGAATATCACAAGAGTATGCCAACTGAACTTTCGTCTGAAATATGCAAGTGATATCATTTCGAACATGCTAAAAGTACAAACAACATTTTCCCTCCCTCTAGTACTCAAGTGTCACCTCTTGACCCTTGACCCGACCAATAACGATCTCGGGGGCGTACTTGGGGATAACCTCATCGTCGTGAAGCATCTCAAATTCCTCTGACGCGTCCTTGCCCATGTGGCTGAAGAGCGCCTGAGGACCTCCTGGGTGTTCATCTGTCCAGTTGGTGACGTCCATAACGATGCCCTTTACTGCAATCCATAGATCATCCTTCTTGTTGTGCTTTGCAACCTCCTCGAGCGAGAATTCCTTGTCGGGAATGCTGAACTTCTTGGGTGCGTTAGGCTTGGAAACCTTGCCGGGATCGTTTGAGTCGCCGTTCGAGGACATGACAGGTGCGGAAGACAGCTGCTTTTGTTGCTCAACGGGGTCTGACGAAGAGCTGGCTTGAGCGCTTCCGCTGACACCGTTGCCCCACTCGACGGAGACCTTGCCCGGTTGCGATGGGTCGATGTGCAGTGAGATCTGACCGAGACGGTTGACGGCAGCGCCACCAGACTTGTTGAGCGCTTGTTGGAAAAGGTACTTGGAGGCAGACTCTCCTGCTACACGACCGTAGACAACGCAGCCAAGAAGGGATGAACCACCGAGACGATTGGCACCATGGACACCACCAGCAAGCTCACCGCAGACGTACAGACCGTCGAACGGCTTGCCGTCGGAGTTCAAGCACTGGGCTTGGTCGTTGATCTCGATACCACCCATGGTGAAATGGAGCACAGGCTCCATCTGCGCAACGTGGAAGGTGTCGTTGATGTCGAAGGGCAGGTTGTGGAAATACTTCTTGTTCCACTCGTCCTTCTTCTCACCCTTGGCAATGGCGTTGTAGCTTTGGAACTCGGCCTGGAGGTCCTTGTCGCTGACACCAATCTCCTTGGCGAGCTCCGCACCAGTCATCTTCTTCATCAGGCCACGGCCGGAGTAATGTCTTGTGTGGAAGTCGAGGACGTTGGATGCCTTGGAGTTGAGGACGAGGCGAATGGGCCAGTTGCCCTTCTCCTTCTCAGTCCACATCATGCCGGAGACGTAATCGCGGTGACCGAGGTCGTCGCAGAAGCGCTTGCCCTTGTTGTTGAGAAGGATACCACCCTCACCACGGAGAGCTAGAGACTGTTAGCATGAGAAAGATGTATGTCGGTGATGCACGTACCTTCGGCGGCCAAGAACTTGGTCTTTGCTGTAGGGTCCTTGGGGTCGACAAGACCGGTAGGGTGCACTTGGACCTTGTCCATGTCGATGCCGTTGGCACCAATCTTCATCAGCATCTTGTGTCCGTCACCGGTAGCGTGAGCACCGTTGGTGGTGGAGAGGTCGTAGGTGTCTGGCCTCCACTTCTTCAGAAGAGAGTCCTCTGTGAAGTCGGCGGCGTAACCGCCAGTCGCCAGAATGACGGGTCCCTCGAGTGTCGTCTCCTCGCCGCCGAATGTGTATGTGACACCGGTGGCGCGGTTGCCCTCGGTGTTGATCTTGGAGACCTTGGCCTTCTTGACGAGCTGGACGCGCTCTGGCTCCTGCTCGGCCAACTCCTCGAATCGTTGCATCAGAGCGTATGTGATGGCCATACCAGGGAACTTGGCATCGTGGCCACGGTGGGTACGGGGTTGGGAGTGACCGCTGTCAAAGTCAGTACATGTGTCAGATTCGGGAATACTGTCGGACGTACCCCAACCGCGAGACGAGAGTGAGGTCTAGGTTGAAGACGTCCATCAGCCACTCGACGGCAGCCGCGGACTTGTAGGTCAGGACCTTGATCAGGTCTGGCCGCGCCTTGTCTCGCGCAGACTTGAGTGTGTCATCGTAGAACTGCTTGACGCTGTCGCCGATCTTCTCGTCGACTTGCGTCCTTGTAAGAGCACCGTTGATTCCCGATGTGGCCTTTGTGGAGTTGCCTCCCATGAAGTTGTTCTTGTCGAGGAGAACGACATTTCCACCAGCGAGGTAGATGGTGTGAGCAGCGCTCAAGCCGGACACTGCCGTCGTGGTTAGCCATGCGCGTGACGGTGTATGATGCAGTGATGCTTACGGCCAGCGCCAACAACAATGACTCTCTCAGGCATGGTGATGAATGCGGTTGAAAAGGGAAGGGGAGAAAAGACGGGGTATGGAGAGAGAGCAGATGAAGGCGAAAAGTCTGGGGATCGGCTTCTGCTTTGTATGGATGCAACGGATGGCTGCTCGGCTTCCGTCTAGCACTTGGAGCGCAACTTGTGCCTCGGAAGTGGAGAATGCGCTAACCCGCATGCACTTCCTAGGTTGTCGCCGCGCGGGCCAATCACGCGGCGGCGGTTTGTCTGCTGGCAATGCGTGAGCCTCACCAAGCCCGGCCTGCGCTGCGCTGCTGATGTGACTATTGAGCAACGGTCCAGCTGTTGCATGTGAAGACGCTCGTCGCCGTCAGCGCCCACATGACTTGGGATGCGCAGCGTGGTTGGCGGCTGGCGGTTGGCTGACCTCTCCATCGGACGGAACGCCGAGGAGTTTAGGCTTGCTGGGAAACCTGGGGCAAGTCACGCGTGGGAACGCGCAACCGTGGAACTCGCCGTTGGCATGTGAAGGCTAGAGCACATGTCCACGCCTGATGCTAAGCCTGCCTAGCCAAAACAGTAAATCTGGAACATCGTAGACGCAATACATTTGCTGCGCGACTTCTTCGTCTTCAACTCTTGCAATGTTGGTTGATGGTTCAGCTCCACGATGCTCGTTATGGCAAATCATCCCGCCCAGGCATCAGAGCCCGATCGGTCTTTGCTCGCACGACCGCGACAGTCAGCGGGCGATATTGCCGTCTTCGGAACTGACTCTCGCTCCAAAACCATGTCGGACCATCATCTTACACCGACTTCCCAAGCTGCTCCGATGTCAAGGTATAAGACTCTGCATTCAAGATCAATCGTGGTCAAACTGTTCGGATTTACATTTCTCGGGGTAGCTGCTGCCGATGCGACCAAATACAGCTCGGTGCATCTCGCGCGAGTCGACGCGGAGGACCGAACAAGACATCTATATACCCTCCTCAAACCAGACGCCCATCGCCTCCACCACCGCGTCTTCACTCCCATACTGCTTGAGGAGCTTCTTGACAAACGTACGCTCCTCGCCATTGTTCATGTTGCGGCGGAACGTGTCTTCGCCAAAGAACACCATGCTGGGGAAGAACCTCAGATTTGGCAGATCGAGGTCTTCTTTTGCCATTCCATCCTCCCAGCTTGCAAAGGCCTTTGTGCAGCCGGTAAACTTCCTCTTTTTGCCCCGTAGGGTCTTTTCCATTGCCCATCCCAGGCAGACAAAGTACTGGAGTGGTATCATTGCCGAAGCAACTTTCCAATTGGTGATGCGCACCACGATCTTGATGTCGGGGTTTGCTTTGGCGTATTCGAAGATGGCTTGACGCCGGCGATTCTCTATCATGAATTCACCTTGGTGAATGATCGCTATCTCGATGCCGCATTTGATTTGCCTCAATCGGAGGTCTTTGTCGGTGTGCATTCGCAGAAAGATTTCGCTTTCCACCTTGATCTTGTGCATCTTGATCTCCAGCCACTTTGTCTCCGCGCGCAGCATCTTGCAAACCGCATTCAAAGGGTTTGCGGAAACCGCTTCGCGGAACTTGGAAGAGGTGACAATATGGCCATTGTCATCGAGAAACCACACAAAACCAGTCTCTGTCTCGCAAGCGAGACTTGCGATGCGGTTGCGGATCTCTGCTGGGAGCTTCAGCAGCGGGGACTGCGCGTCATTTCGTTCAATGCTATATCGATGTTAGTATTGTAGTTAAATTGATTGTAGTCATGTACTTACATCTTCTTGGTCTCGCCGGGCGTATCCTCCAGGCTCAGGACCCCGTTCTCCTGCAGCTTTGGTGGCGCGATCGTAGTCGGCAAGCTCACGGTTCCGCTATCTTGTAGCTTCGGCGATGCCATTGTAGGTGGCAGAGGGTGGTATGGTGTTGAGAAAAGTGAGTATAGGATACGATGTCGGTATCTGGGTGCGACAGCAAAGTACGAAGCTGCGACAGAAGAGACAAAGTATCTTCTTGGGTGCGACAAGATACTAGGTGACTGAGGAAAACAATGTGATGTCACCGCATACGGTCGAGACGAGATTTCAAAGTGAAGGTGAAAGTGAGACGTGAGCGTCAACTCACCGCTACTGGAACTTTCCTCGATCATTGGAAAAGCTCCTCTCTCGCATCCTCACTCTCACGCAGCCTTATCACGCCATCTTCTCAACCATGCCGGCACTCCCAACATCCACTCACGTACCACTGGCGCCCCTCAATCTTCCTGACTGGCCGCTCTTCCTGATCGTCATCGGCGTTCTGATCATCCTCCTCTTCCAGATCTTTCTCGTCATCGCCTTTCTCCGTTGGTCCAACGTACACAGCAAAGCGCGGTGGAGGCGCCTTCGACAACGCGGCGTTGTCATTCTCGACGGACCGGCGCTCATCTGGACAAACCCGATACCACCTGGACCAACGGTCTCGACCTTCAACTTACGACAGACGCTTCGGACGTCAGACGAGCGAGTGACTCAGTAGGGTACTGTCGCTACGAAGAGGTCCAGATAGGACATCGTCTGAACCGGCGCGGCGCCATTCTCTACACAACCTCCAGCAGTCAGCTCTCCGAGCAAACAGCAGTGATCAACGATGAGTCTCTTCGAACCCAAATCGTCGCCTGTCACAGAAGTCGCGAAACAGCAGGCAACTACATCCGCCACCATCATCATCTTCATCGTCATCTCCGCAATCGGTTCGTCGGCCGTCGTAGGGTTCATCCTGTTCGTGGCATGGTACAGAGCAAAGAAGAAAAGGGAACAACACCAGGCGGCTGCCGAGCTGGTGGAGCTTTCTGTCATTGAAGCCGTTCTACAGGCATCTCCGGCGCGACAACATTAAGCGGTTGGAGCGGTGCACTGAGACACGTTGTCATATGTAGATGACACGGATTCAAGGTTGGAGCTGGTGAGGATACAAAGGATGTGATAGACGAAAAGGGAAGAGAGGAAGCTGGATGGTCGGGTCGTATCTGCATTCATCATGTGCTGATCTTCCAAGATCGAGTGTAGCAACCTAAGAAATGATACTGTAACTTGAACGGTCTACTTCCCTTCTAACGCCAGTGAGATCTTGAGCCCAAGTTAATCAAACGCGTTCGCATGAGTCGCGTAGTCTGAAAGCCGCGTCACTATACCAAGATTGTAGTAGCGGCCCGTCCTTTCTGGTAAGCTCGTGACAGCGCGATAGCGGTCAAACGTTGATACAAGCAGTAGCGCGTTCCGTGTGGCGAAGCTCGTGGGATCAGAATGAGGAAAGCGTAAGCCGGAGCGGGAATTCAGTGCGGGGTTTCTCTTCAGGGCGCTGCCTTTCTCGTACATTTAACACTACTTCCTCTTCTCTTCTGCAACTTGATCTCACTCAGCCTACTCAATCCGCCGATTATTCGAATACCCACATCGGTCAGTCAACTGCCATGTCGTCCCAGAACACATCCAACTCCTCCGGCTCCGGCTCGGCTTCCTCTGGCAACACCGGCAGCGGAGGCTACACCACAACCAGCTCCGGTACCAACAGCCAAGTACGATCTTACTTTTCGTTCTTTTATACGCCTCGCTGACATTCCTTTGTAGGGAAACCACTACTGCTCCCGCGACTATGGCTCCAGCGCCTCGAACTCCAACTCTTACCACTACTCCAACACCGATGGCTCGTACTACTACAGCAATCCCAACGTACGTCAAACTTATCCAACACGGATGGACTCTTGCTAAATCACTTCCAGGGCTCGACCTACTACAACGATGGCCAGGGCGGCGCAAGGTACAACTCCGGCAAATAGACTGCGCGTAGCTTGTCTGTTGTCGCTCCAAACTTGGTACAGGTCTAATCGTGATTGGTCCGCACTGTTCCCTGAAAGTTGCGAAGGGGATATGACTAGCGTATCGTTATACCATAGACGAGATGAAATGAACGGGTGTGCCTCGCCATATCTGTTGTATGATTTCCCTTGTGATGCATTCTCATGTTTAAACAGCTTTCGTTCTCGCCCAATACTGCCGTGAGGACTCATCCCGCGTTACGAATGATATCCCTATCGATGTTTGATACCCTATCGATCCGTGATATTTATGCGGCGATGTGGTAGTCTCCTCCTTGAACGTACCGGATGCTGTGAGTTAGCAGAGTTCAGTCGTGTAGACACGTTTATAGTTAGCATGAGTGCGGAGTGAGGTGTCCCGTTAGTACCCGCGTCATCCCGAGGTCGCCCGCTGCTGGGATGAACCACACGCACGACACCCACTACACGTCTGACGTCCACAGGCAGCGCATCGCATACTTCGGGATAGGGTTCTTGCCTTCTTAGATGCGCGACCGCTGGAAAAGCTGCTTACTTGCACAGTCGTATCGTGCTGTGTGACTGCTATCTGCTTCGACATAGGCATCTTCACAACCTTCAATTCCGCAAATGAGTATCGTCTAGAAAACGTACTTATTATTATCGAACAACACGCTCATCCTTGTTGCTCGTTATTTGCGCCTGGCTGCCAAAGGACTCCCGTTCATCCAGCTCGATATCGCTATCTGTCCTTATCCACCCTTTGCTCTCAATTCGAGTGCTAACGCGTATCCTGCTTTGCAATCTACTTTTGTTGGACTGGCCGTTCGATCCCGAGGCGAAGTTACTTCGGCTGTTGGAATACTGCGTCGAGGGGAGGCGAAGAATGCCACCGACGAGGGGCTTGAGCGATGGCGCACATGCGGCTATGATTCCGACGTTCACTTGGAGGAAGCCCCAGAATTGGATGTCGTTTGTGCTGGCATACTGTTAGCGGACGTCCACACTGGTTCAAGTATAGACATAGAGACATACAATGACTGGTCGGGGTCGCCTCTCTTTGTGTTCTGGACAACGGCCTTGACGATGCCTATGGCCACCGCTCTTGACTTGGGTCAGCTTTTCTACCTCAACTCAAGTCTCTCTCTTTCCAATACCGGGTTACTTACGTGTAGCCCAAGCTCAGAATAAAGATGAGATACATGCGAGTCTTCTGCTTCATCTGCAACCCCATAATGATGGGAATAGGGATGGTTGCAAAGCAGATATCCGTGAACATGTTGCAGCCTGCGTACGACCTAGTCAGTCACCGAGTATAGTAAGAGTGGTGAAGGACTGATTTACTTGTATTCATCAGCGCAAAGCCCTTGTGGATTTTCACAGGCACGCAGGTTGGCTTGAGGTCCTTATTCCAGAAGCCGGCGATAGGTTTGCACACGGCAGCCCATTCACTCCAAGATACGAGTGTGTAGAGACAGACGAACGCTGACAATGCTTAGTAGACGTAACTAATTCGCTTTTCAAAGCACCATGGGCTTACCGATAAGCGACCAGAGTATCCTGTTGTATAACGTGGGAACGCCCAAGCGAAGGAGTGAGAACCCGACGGACAACTTGAGGAAAGCCATACCCCCAATACTGGAGACAAGAGCTTGTATGAAGGTCAACTTCAGGTACTCTTGGTGATCTGACTTCTCGAGAGTGTCGGTGTGACGACCTAAGCCATGCTGGCCAGCTAGTATGTAGGTCACCATTCCACCAAGAAATACACAAGTCTAATCCGCGCAGTTAGGGAAGCGTTCAAACTTGATTCACGATAGTTTCTCACCGCTGCCGCTAGTATGAGGGCATCGTCTTTGCCAAACGCCTTCACGACGATGAAGCGGGCATACATGCGCATCCCAACAAAGATCAGTGCGATGACATGGAAAGTCGCGGTAACGCCGAGGAGGTATCCTAGATTACTCTCTGCTGCACGCACCAGGTCGGTATTCTTTGGTACCATAGTGACGGCAAAGATGAGGGTCTAGCAAAATGGAGTCGTAGGGAGGAGACATAAGTGTCATGCATCCTGTCGAAACCAAGGATATGCTGTGTTACATGCCCCCTTCCTACATCTCATGCCCAGCAGGATACGGAGCTCTCTGCAACGACTTGAAAGCACGGTAGCAGTGTTCTAGAAGGTGACATGGCCTCGTTTGTTGGTTCGTCAGCCTGCTTACCGTGAGATGTGGCATCCTGGTCTGCCAATTTCTTGGAGAATCCTTCCTGCGCTTTGCTTTTTCTTGAAACGACTCTATATTGCCCATAGTGCATGGCAAAGAGACGGCATCGCCTGCATGCAGCCCGCACCTGCATCTACTTTCAGCATGCACCGGTCCCAGATGCGTTCGCGCACTAAGTAATCGGGCCGAAGGGTAGGATTCCATCGCAGACGAGCCAGCCCAGCGCAACGGTTCGACGGGTCGACGGGTGGCTAATGGTCCGCTGCGCGCATGAATGGTCTCAACTTGCAGCGAAAACCGAGCTCGCTTCTGTGGTAAACAAGCCGACATGTTGGTTCTCGGGGTGGCAATACGAGAAGGATCAGTTTAGGCTGAATAGGCAAAGGCAGAGCTGTAGGCCTATGCGATCCGTTACTTGATTGCCAACGGGCTTGTTTGGTGACATTGCGTGGGATAAAAAAATGTATCTGGGTCTACAGGCTTCTGGCATAAAGCGGCGCGGTCATGGGAATGAACCGGTTGTTCGTGGGGCGGCAGGTACTAGGGATCGTTTACCACTGTCAAGGGCTCTTTCCCGTCTCCGTCCCGTCTCGCATTCACCGCAGGAAGGCGCCACTCCTACGCGACCCTTTGACGATCCCATGCCGCAGTCAGATATAGTCGCATGGTATGGGACGGCGTCCTATTGGTCGATAGCCAACCTTTCGCCTTTGTATGCATATGTCATTTCGATCCAACACAATCCTACAGATCCCAGATCTTAGCAGTGCCAAGTTTGCTTCAGGAGCCTTTAGATCACCCAGCTAAACGGTCGACAGAAGATCCTTCTGCATCGCATCGCGCGAAGTCATCACTACCAAA